GAACTATTTGCCAGCGAACCGTTCGGGACATCACAACTGAGGAAATCCCATGTGGGAACAAAACATGTAGGACCTGTTTCTTATTTTTATTCATTTTATTTAAGAAAATATTAATTTTGATACCTTTCCAGAGTCCAAGAAAATCTCCTATGATATGGAGTCCATTCAAGGAACATAAGCAGGAGGATATTGTTGGCTAGACCACTCAATCGGCCCACTCAAAGGTAGACTGCATCGATTCAAGATGAGCGGGCTATTTAAACGAGGAGCATATGAAGAGAGACCACCATCCCTGAGGAAGTCTAGAAGATGAAACGCGTCGGATTTAAACCCTTCAAGGACTTTGTGTATACCTGTTCTTATTTAGTTTTTATTTAAATTCTATACCTCTTTGAGAGGTTCTATCATTTCTAAGATTAGTGTCCATTCTGAAGCTTCATCCATCGATTGAGTGGTATCCAGAGATCCATATATTATGGAGAGATGATGTATTTGATCTACTATCTTGTAAGTGCATTTTTAATAAATCTATTGTGGATATTACCATCTGCACTATTAGCATGTTTTTTGCTCTTTTTAAGTACAAGAAGACCTCTAGCTAATTGGAACACTTATGTATATCACCCCAATATGGAAGGATGATGAGCCTGAATATTTCTGAACTCTTTTTCATCTGGCCATTATCCTAGCCTTGATATCTAGGTGGTATTTTTTTTTATATATATATATATTGCATTTTTATATATATTGTTCACACCTACTCTTCTTTATTTGCTTCACTTATTCTCAGTGTACTAGGGACACACCTTTTAGTAGGTTTTGTGATTTTGCTTATCTAGTGGGGATATTTTGCTTTGTGTTTATTTCATACTTCCAAGCAGGACTTTTCTGGACATATTTAACCCCTTAATGCCATTACGGCGTTCTATGCCGTCGCGGCTTTAAAGGGCTTTAAAGCCGTTGTGGCGGCATAGAACGCCATAACGGCTTAAGCCCTGGGGAGCTCCAATTTACTTACCTCCGCCACGATCCTCTTCGGGAGGGCTGCCTGACAGCCCAGACAGCCCTCCCCCGGCGAATGAGGCCCCCGGGGGCCATGTGATCGTTCTCAAAATAAAAATAAACATGTGTAAAATAAATTAAATATATTTATATATATATAATATATGTATAATATATGTATATATATATTATATATAATATATATACATATTATATATATATAACGTCATACGTTGTGTATTTTAATACTAATATTAGTATATATATTAATATTAAAATACACTTAGAATGACATTACATATATATTATATGTATATATATTATATATATAATAGATATATACACATATATTATATATATATATATATATATATACGTATAATTACAATAATAAATAAATAAAATAATAAAATAAATAAAATATTGAAACAAAATTTAATATAAATTATATATTCATATGCAATTTCATTCTAACTGTATTTTGTTATTAATATATATATATATATATATATATATATATATATATATATATATATATATATATATATATATATATATATATATATATACACACACACTTTTATTTCCTTTTATTTCCTATATATACAAAAAATGAAAAATGAAGGAGAGACCACCTCGTAACAGGACGTGCCCCTCTCCTTCAAACCACCCCAAAAAACATATGTCTATAGAAAATAAATAAATTTTATTGAAAAAATAGTATAAAAAGCCAAATATCCTGAGGACTCCCGGAAAAGTCTGATCTATTAGCTGCAAGGTATGTCAGTCACTAGAAGATGTAACAATTGTAAACTTAGACAGAGTTGTTACCAAAGATAATACTGACAGTGTGAACCACTATTGAGTGTGATCATCTAAGTAAACCTAATTAAATACTAGAAGTGATAGTAGTGATATGGACTAAACCTTTCCAGACATTAGAAAGCACAAAGTTACCAGCATATGAAAAAATGGAGGGGTATATTGTATCAATCGCTTTCAAAAGGTAGCGAGTAGAACTTATGCAAACTCTTACTATAGAGTAAGTGCTAAAAAAATAATGTTTCTAATAAAGAAAGGACCAGAGAGTGCACAGTTATTGGCACATAGTGGAAATCGAAAGGACAGAGAAGATCATGTAGTAAAAGGAGAAAATATAAAGTAGGAATGAGTATTCAATCAGGATGCAAGGAAAAATGGAAAAATCAACCCACTAATTACTCCATACTACAGACTTAGATGCCCCAGCGTGGTAACCAGGTCTGGTCCCCCCCAAAAACAAAAAAAGAAAAAGAAAAGAAAAGAAAAAGAAAAATTGCTGTAACACACTAGAGAGTCGGATATTGGTAAAGTAAAATCAAAATCAACGGTTACATCAAAACAAAGAGAAGCCCGACGCGCGTTTCGGCGGACTAACCGCCTTTCTCAAGGGCCAAAATAAAATGCATCAATTTGAATCTCGCCCCTCCTTCGTTTAAATACCTCCCATGAGTCTCCCATCAGGTGTTGGTAATCGCCACAAGCCGGCATCGTCTAATCACCTGAGCATCCTCTCATTGCGCATGTCCCGTACCGACGTCCGCAAGGACCAAAGTGTAGTACTGCGCATGCTCCCCTGCGGCATCCGCGCATGCGCACGAACTTAGATGGATACACTCTAACACATCTGCGCAAATTACAATCTGATATAGCGCTTGTCATTATGTCCGTGCATGCGCATGGACTTAGAGAAGAAGAGCACTCCAAGACATTTGTGTGCATGTCAGGGCAGAAAGGGCAGCACATATACAGAGATGGATTCACCCGAAAATCTAATTTGGATGTTAATTATGCCACACTATTTTTATGTATGTATATAGCATAGGCTACCACATCATAAAGAATCATTAAATAGAATCCCATGACGTATGGGATTCTAATCATGGCATATTTAAAAAGATAGTACAAAATCCGGACATGGGTGAAGGGACAAATAGGGAGAAGAAAAGAGGGAAAACGGAGTAGAGCAGAGATAAAACAAAAAGATAAGCAGAAAACCGTATAGATGACATAAAATACATTATATAAATTGATTAAAGACAAAGAAAAGAGTGGTGAATGGTAAACATTTTCAATAAAGCTGGTAATAACAGGTATAAATAAAATATATATTATAAGAAGAAAGTGTAAAAAGACAAGAAAGGAAAAAAAGAAGGAAAGTCAGAGATGTATACATATAAGAATATATGCATATGTATATATATATATATAAATATATATATGTGTTGCTCAGTGTCATGTAAAGGACAACTCTGTCGGTTATATGAAGGGAGCAAAAGAGAAACCCTCATTTAAACCTAGAGGTTGAAGTGTTTTGAGTTCGTATATCCATCTCGACTCCCTCTGTCTGAGTATTTTATCAAAATCTCCCCGTCTGGGGGTCCTTTTTACTAATTCCAATCCACAAAATCTGAGGTTATTAGAATTCCCATGGTGAGATTCTTTAAGGTGTCTCGAGATAGGTGTCTCAAGACGATTCCTAGGGGATCTCACATGTTCCATGATCCTATCCTTAAAAGCCCTAAAAGTTTTCCCCACATATTTCTGTCCACATGTACACGAAAGTAGGTATACAAGGCCCTTTGTATTACAGTTGAAAAAACTTTTTACTTTAAAGGAACCTAGTCCTTGACTATCGCTAACGGTCTTAGAATTTTTGAGGATAAACTTACAGGCTACACATTTGCCACAGCTATATGTGCCCATCGGGGGAGTGCCCAACCAAGTGGCACGCAGTTGTGGTTTAGTAGAAAAGTGACTAGGTACCAGCAGATCACGAATATTACGTCCCCTTCTAGCTGTAATGTCCACATGTGGGCTAAGAGCCCCCTTAAGATGTATGTCATTCAGTAGGATAGGCCAGAATCTCTCAAGTGACTTTCGTACTTCTGGCCACCCCATGTCGAATGTTGCGATCATACGGATATTACCTGCGTCCTTATTGGTGATCTTTTTTGAAAAGTCGCATAGTAGATCACTCCTCTCAGTCTGTAGTGCCCTCTTACAGGCTTTTTTCAGACAGCGGTTCGGATAGCCCTTCTCCTTAAAGTGTTGTCGAAGTTGTTTCGCTTTTAGAGTAAAGTCCTGGATGTCACTACAGTTCCTCCGAAGTCGGAGATATTGACCCACCGGTATACCCTCCTTGAGGGATCGGGGATGGTGACTAGTCCAGTGTAGTAGAGAGTTAGTTGCCGTAGATTTTCTGTATAATGTAGAATGGAAAGTACCATCTTCAGTAATACTAATGGTCACATCCAAAAAATTGATGGAACGTCCTCCGAATTCAGATGTAAAACGAAGATTTTCGTCGTTACAGTTAAGTAATCCTACCATAGCCAAAAACTCCTGAGGGGTACCCTGCCAGACAATCAAAATGTCGTCGATATAGCGACCCCACCATAGGATTTTGGGTAGGTATTCTCTTAGCATATCTGAATTACGGATCTGATGTTCCCACCAACCAAGATGGAGATTCGCATATGAGGGGGCACAAGCCGTCCCCATAGCGGTTCCCCTAATCTGGTGGTATATACAATTGTTGAACAGAAAGTAATTATGTGACAAAATAAACCTAAGAAGGCGTAGAAGGAAAGCCGTATGTAGATCATCTTTGGGGGTTCTCTGGTCTAGAAAAAATCCCACATGTTCAATTCCTCTATCGTGAGGTATAGAGGAATAAAGTGATTCAACGTCCAAACTGCATAGTTGGACGGTGGAGGAGAATTTTAGACTCGAAAGTTTATTCAGTGCTTGTTTGGTATCTCTAATATAGGAGGGTAATAGTTCCACAAAAGGTCTTAAAACTCTGTCTATATACAGGCTGCCGTTTTGTGTAAGGTTATCAACCCCAGAGACAATCGGACGTCCTGGGGGTGTCTCCTTGTTCTTATGAACTTTAGGTAGGCAGTAGAAGGTTGCTACCTTAGGGTGACGAGTGAGGATAAATTCAAACTCGTCACCAGATAGCAACCCTCCACTGCGACCATCCTCCAATATCTCCTTGTATTTGGACAGAAAATCATCCGTAGGATCATGTTTAAGGATTGTATATGTCTCAGTGTCCTTCAGGACCCGTTTGGCCATATCTAGATATTGGTCCACATCCATCACTACAATATTCCCCCCCTTGTCGGCGGGTTTGATGATGATGTCAGCATCGTCTTGTAAGGTTTTCAAAGCTCGTTGTTCCCGTCTAAGGAGGTTCTCCCTAGAATGGATGCGGAGAGATTTCAAGCTGATTTTTTCAATCTCTATTTTAGCTGCCTCTAAGAAGAGCTCAATATGTCTAAAGCTCGCAAAATTAGGAGTATAGCGGCTCTTTGGTTTTAGGCCAGTGCGGTTCGAGATGGTATTTGAGTCACTTTCGTCTAGAAGGGTCAATAGGGTGGTGAGGCATTGATAGTCTTGTGGGGCAAGTCCTAAATCTCTGGCTTTTCTTTCATTCTGAACAGAATGGAATTTGTGTAATGCCAACTTCCTAACAAAAAGGTTCAGATCCTTAATCCAACCGAACTTATCAAAGGAAGGTGTGGGTACGAATGAGAGGCCCTTCCCTAAGATGACTTTTTGGTCAGCAGTTAGTATTCGAGAAGATAGATTAATGATCTCGGACTTGCATCTTGCTATCTGGCTATCGACTAATATCTCCTCCTCCTCCCCCCTCCCCTCGTATTGCGAGTCTGATACCTCGTCCGCTGTCTCGGGAATTCCTCCTGATAACCTGGGTCTAAAAAATTAACCCCCTTCTTAAGGATTCCTCTTGGATTGGGGACAGTGGATAAAGTGGATTGTGATTGTGATTGTGGTTCAACTGAAGTACTTGAAGTTTGGCTCCCAGAATCTGTGTCTGAGGAGTCATAGTCTGAAGTTAAACCATTGTCAGATGTGCGTCTCATTCTACGATTAAATGCTTTATATATGTTCCCAGTCTGATAGTCATTAGAGTCTCTCAGAAATTTTTCATGTTTCCTAAATTTCACTGTTTCTTGAAATTTATCTAGGTTTTGTTTCAGCCTAGATTCAAGAAAGGTGAAGTTAGGATCATCTTGAAACTGTTTGATCCCATTAATCTCTTCATCTAGGTCCATATTAACAGTTTTGAGTTGTTCGTGTTCAAATTTGCAGATAATCTGCATGAATGTTTTAGAGCATGACCCAGCCGCAGCTTCCCATTCCTTCATTAGATCGATGTTACCGGAATAGGATGAGGGTGTGTTCATTACTCTTAGACCTCTCGGTATCATTTCCTTACTCATATAGTTCTCAAGAGATGAGATCTCCCAAGATGTTCGAATCTGTTTCTTATATAGACTATGAAGTTTATTAAATGACTTGTTGATATTGGGAGTAGTGGTATTTAAGTCTAGTTTTGTATTAGAGAACACATTTGCTGCATCTTTACACCAAATATTGCTTTCAATTTTATTTAACAGAAAACCAGCCATATTAGAAATTTGAAAAAGTAGAACCACTCTGAATAACCCTGGTATTGAAACCTAATAAATGTAAATAGATAACGGTACTTCCTAAATAGGAAACCTAATAGGGAGTACCATAAGAAATGGGTTATAGGTTATAGGGGTGGCAACAAGGGCATAACCCTGCGTAGAACGCAAAAATATATACAAAAAATGAAAAATGAAGGAGAGACCACCTCGTAACAGGACGTGCCCCTCTCCTTCAAACCACCCCAAAAAACATATGTCTATAGAAAATAAATAAATTTTATTGAAAAAATAGTATAAAAAGCCAAATATCCTGAGGACTCCCGGAAAAGTCTGATCTATTAGCTGCAAGGTATGTCAGTCACTAGAAGATGTAACAATTGTAAACTTAGACAGAGTTGTTACCAAAGGTAATACTGACAGTGTGAACCACTATTGAGTGTGATCATATAAGTAAACCTAATTAAATACTAGAAGTGATAGTAGTGATATGGACTAAACCTTTCCAGACATTAGAAAGCACAAAGTTACCAGCATATGAAAAAATGGAGGGGTATATTGTATCAATCGCTTTCAAAAGGTAGCGAGTAGAACTTATGCAAACTCTTACTATAGAGTAAGTGCTAAAAAAATAATGTTTCTAATAAAGAAAGGACCAGAGAGTGCACAGTTATTGGCACATAGTGGAAATCGAAAGGACAGAGAAGATCATGTAGTAAAAGGAGAAAATATAAAGTAGGAATGAGTATTCAATCAGGATGCAAGGAAAAATGGAAAAATCAACCCACTAATTACTCCATACTACAGACTTAGATGCCCCAGCGTGGTAACCAGGTCTGGTCCCCCCCAAAAACAAAAAAAGAAAAAGAAAAGAAAAGAAAAAGAAAAATTGCTGTAACACACTAGAGAGTCGGATATTGGTAAAGTAAAATCAAAATCAACGGTTACATCAAAACAAAGAGAAGCCCGACGCGCGTTTCGGCGGACTAACCGCCTTTCTCAAGGGCCAAAATAAAATGCATCAATTTGAATCTCGCCCCTCCTTCGTTTAAATACCTCCCATGAGTCTCCCATCAGGTGTTGGTAATCGCCACAAGCCGGCATCGTCTAATCACCTGAGCATCCTCTCATTGCGCATGTCCCGTACCGACGTCCGCAAGGACCAAAGTGTAGTACTGCGCATGCTCCCCTGCGGCATCCGCGCATGCGCACGAACTTAGATGGATACACTCTAACACATCTGCGCAAATTACAATCTGATATAGCGCTTGTCATTATGTCCGTGCATGCGCATGGACTTAGAGAAGAAGAGCACTCCAAGACATTTGTGTGCATGTCAGGGCAGAAAGGGCAGCACATATACAGAGATGGATTCACCCGAAAATCTAATTTGGATGTTAATTATGCCACACTATTTTTATGTATGTATATAGCATAGGCTACCACATCATAAAGAATCATTAAATAGAATCCCATGACGTATGGGATTCTAATCATGGCATATTTAAAAAGATAGTACAAAATCCGGACATGGGTGAAGGGACAAATAGGGAGAAGAAAAGAGGGAAAACGGAGTAGAGCAGAGATAAAACAAAAAGATAAGCAGAAAACCGTATAGATGACATAAAATACATTATATAAATTGATTAAAGACAAAGAAAAGAGTGGTGAATGGTAAACATTTTCAATAAAGCTGGTAATAACAGGTATAAATAAAATATATATTATAAGAAGAAAGTGTAAAAAGACAAGAAAGGAAAAAAAGAAGGAAAGTCAGAGATGTATACATATAAGAATATATGCATATGTATATATATATATATAAATATATATATGTGTTGCTCAGTGTCATGTAAAGGACAACTCTGTCGGTTATATGAAGGGAGCAAAAGAGAAACCTAAAATAGAGATTGAAAAAATCAGCTTGAAATCTCTCCGCATCCATTCTAGGGAGAACCTCCTTAGACGGGAACAACGAGCTTTGAAAACCTTACAAGACGATGCTGACATCATCATCAAACCCGCCGACAAGGGGGGGAATATTGTAGTGATGGATGTGGACCAATATCTAGATATGGCCAAACGGGTCCTGAAGGACACTGAGACATATACAATCCTTAAACATGATCCTACGGATGATTTTCTGTCCAAATACAAGGAGATATTGGAGGATGGTCGCAGTGGAGGGTTGCTATCTGGTGACGAGTTTGAATTTATCCTCACTCGTCACCCTAAGGTAGCAACCTTCTACTGCCTACCTAAAGTTCATAAGAACAAGGAGACACCCCCAGGACGTCCGATTGTCTCTGGGGTTGATAACCTTACACAAAACGGCAGCCTGTATATAGACAGAGTTTTAAGACCTTTTGTGGAACTATTACCCTCCTATATTAGAGATACCAAACAAGCACTGAATAAACTTTCGAGTCTAAAATTCTCCTCCACCGTCCAACTATGCAGTTTGGACGTTGAATCACTTTATTCCTCTATACCTCACGATAGAGGAATTGAACATGTGGGATTTTTTCTAGACCAGAGAACCCCCAAAGATGATCTACATACGGCTTTCCTTCTACGCCTTCTTAGGTTTATTTTGTCACATAATTACTTTCTGTTCAACAATTGTATATACCACCAGATTAGGGGAACCGCTATGGGGACGGCTTGTGCCCCCTCATATGCGAATCTCCATCTTGGTTGGTGGGAACATCAGATCCGTAATTCAGATATGCTAAGAGAATACCTACCCAAAATCCTATGGTGGGGTCGCTATATCGACGACATTTTGATTGTCTGGCAGGGTACCCCTCAGGAGTTTTTGGCTATGGTAGGATTACTTAACTGTAACGACGAAAATCTTCGTTTTACATCTGAATTCGGAGGACGTTCCATCAATTTTTTGGATGTGACCATTAGTATTACTGAAGATGGTACTTTCCATTCTACATTATACAGAAAATCTACGGCAACTAACTCTCTACTACACTGGACTAGTCACCATCCCCGATCCCTCAAGGAGGTTATACCGGTGGGTCAATATCTCCGACTTCGGAGGAACTGTAGTGACATCCAGGACTTTACTCTAAAAGCGAAACAACTTCGACAACACTTTAAGGAGAAGGGCTATCCGAACCGCTGTCTGAAAAAAGCCTATAAGAGGGCACTACAGACTGAGAGGAGTGATCTACTATGCGACTTTTCAAAAAAGATCACCAATAAGGACGCAGGTAATATCCGTATGATCGCAACATTCGACATGGGGTGGCCAGAAGTACGAAAGTCACTTGAGAGATTCTGGCCTATCCTACTGAATGACATACATCTTAAGGGGGCTCTTAGCCCACATGTGGACATTACAGCTAGAAGGGGACGTAATATTCGTGATCTGCTGGTACCTAGTCACTTTTCTACTAAACCACAACTGCGTGCCACTTGGTTGGGCACTCCCCCGATGGGCACATATAGCTGTGGCAAATGTGTAGCCTGTAAGTTTATCCTCAAAAATTCTAAGACCGTTAGCGATAGTCAAGGACTAGGTTCCTTTAAAGTAAAAAGTTTTTTCAACTGTAATACAAAGGGCCTTGTATACCTACTTTCGTGTACATGTGGACAGAAATATGTGGGGAAAACTTTTAGGGCTTTTAAGGATAGGATCATGGAACATGTGAGATCCCCTAGGAATCGTCTTGAGACACCTATCTCGAGACACCTTAAAGAATCTCACCATGGGAATTCTAATAACCTCAGATTTTGTGGATTGGAATTAGTAAAAAGGACCCCCAGACGGGGAGATTTTGATAAAATACTCAGACAGAGGGAGTCGAGATGGATATACGAACTCAAAACACTTCAACCTCTAGGTTTAAATGAGGGTTTCTCTTTTGCTCCCTTCATATAACCGACAGAGTTGTCCTTTACATGACACTGAGCAACACATATATATATTTATATATATATATATACATATGCATATATTCTTATATGTATACATCTCTGACTTTCCTTCTTTTTTTCCTTTCTTGTCTTTTTACACTTTCTTCTTATAATATATATTTTATTTATACCTGTTATTACCAGCTTTATTGAAAATGTTTACCATTCACCACTCTTTTCTTTGTCTTTAATCAATTTATATAATGTATTTTATGTCATCTATACGGTTTTCTGCTTATCTTTTTGTTTTATCTCTGCTCTACTCCGTTTTCCCTCTTTTCTTCTCCCTATTTGTCCCTTCACCCATGTCCGGATTTTGTACTATCTTTTTAAATATGCCATGATTAGAATCCCATACGTCATGGGATTCTATTTAATGATTCTTTATGATGTGGTAGCCTATGCTATATACATACATAAAAATAGTGTGGCATAATTAACATCCAAATTAGATTTTCGGGTGAATCCATCTCTGTATATGTGCTGCCCTTTCTGCCCTGACATGCACACAAATGTCTTGGAGTGCTCTTCTTCTCTAAGTCCATGCGCATGCACGGACATAATGACAAGCGCTATATCAGATTGTAATTTGCGCAGATGTGTTAGAGTGTATCCATCTAAGTTCGTGCGCATGCGCGGATGCCGCAGGGGAGCATGCGCAGTACTACACTTTGGTCCTTGCGGACGTCGGTACGGGACATGCACAATGAGAGGATGCTCAGGTGATTAGACGATGCCGGCTTGTGGCGATTACCAACACCTGATGGGAGACTCATGGGAGGTATTTAAACGAAGGAGGGGCGAGATTCAAATTGATGCATTTTATTTTGGCCCTTGAGAAAGGCGGTTAGTCCGCCGAAACGCGCGTCGGGCTTCTCTTTGTTTTGATGTAACCGTTGATTTTGATTTTACTTTACCAATATCCGACTCTCTAGTGTGTTACAGCAATTTTTCTTTTTCTTTTCTTTTCTTTTTCTTTTTTTGTTTTTGGGGGGGACCAGACCTGGTTACCACGCTGGGGCATCTAAGTCTGTAGTATGGAGTAATTAGTGGGTTGATTTTTCCATTTTTCCTTGCATCCTGATTGAATACTCATTCCTACTTTATATTTTCTCCTTTTACTACATGATCTTCTCTGTCCTTTCGATTTCCACTATGTGCCAATAACTGTGCACTCTCTGGTCCTTTCTTTATTAGAAACATTATTTTTTTAGCACTTACTCTATAGTAAGAGTTTGCATAAGTTCTACTCGCTACCTTTTGAAAGCGATTGATACAATATACCCCTCCATTTTTTCATATGCTGGTAACTTTGTGCTTTCTAATGTCTGGAAAGGTTTAGTCCATATCACTACTATCACTTCTAGTATTTAATTAGGTTTACTTATATGATCACACTCAATAGTGGTTCACACTGTCAGTATTACCTTTGGTAACAACTCTGTCTAAGTTTACAATTGTTACATCTTCTAGTGACTGACATACCTTGCAGCTAATAGATCAGACTTTTCCGGGAGTCCTCAGGATATTTGGCTTTTTATACTATTTTTTCAATAAAATTTATTTATTTTCTATAGACATATGTTTTTTGGGGTGGTTTGAAGGAGAGGGGCACGTCCTGTTACGAGGTGGTCTCTCCTTCATTTTTCATTTTTTGTATATATTTTTGCGTTCTACGCAGGGTTATGCCCTTGTTGCCACCCCTATAACCCATTTCTTATGGTACTCCCTATTAGGTTTCCTATTTAGGAAGTACCGCTATCTATTAACATTTATTAGGTTTCAATACCAGGGTTATTCAGAGTGGTTCTACTTCTTCAAATTTCTAATATGGCTGGTTTTCTGTTAAATAAAATTGAAAGCAATATTTGGTGTAAAGATGCAGCAAATGTGTTCTCTAATACAAAACTAGACTTAAATACCACTACTCCCAATATCAACAAGTCATTTAATAAACTTCATAGTCTATATAAGAAACAGATTCGAACATCTTGGGAGATCTCATCTCTTGAGAACTATATGAGTAAGGAAATGATACCGAGAGGTCTAAGAGTAATGAACACACCCTCATCCTATTCCGGTAACATCGATCTAATGAAGGAATGGGAAGCTGCGGCTGGGTCATGCTCTAAAACATTCATGCAGATTATCTGCAAATTTGAACACGAACAACTCAAAACTGTTAATATGGACCTAGATGAAGAGATTAATGGGATCAAACAGTTTCAAGATGATCCTAACTTCACCTTTCTTGAATCTAGGCTGAAACAAAACCTAGATAAATTTCAAGAAACAGTGAAATTTAGGAAACATGAAAAATTTCTGAGAGACTCTAATGACTATCAGACTGGGAACATATATAAAGCATTTAATCGTAGAATGAGACGCACATCTGACAATGGTTTAACTTCAGACTATGACTCCTCAGACACAGATTCTGGGAGCCAAATTTCAAGTACTTCAGTTGAACCACAATCACAATCACAATCCACTTTATCCACTGTCCCCAATCCAAGAGGAATCCTTAAGAAGGGGGTTAATTTTTTAGACCCAGGTTATCAGGAGGAATTCCCGAGACAGCGGACGAGGTATCAGACTCGCAATACGAGGGAAGGGGGGAGGAGGAGGAGATATTAGTCGATAGCCAGATAGCAAGATGCAAGTCCGAGATCATTAATCTATCTTCTCGAATACTAACTGCTGACCAAAAAGTCATCTTAGGGAAGGGCCTCTCATTCGTACCCACACCTTCCTTTGATAAGTTCGGTTGGATTAAGGATCTGAACCTTTTTGTTAGGAAGTTGGCATTACACAAATTCCATTCTGTTCAGAATGAAAGAAAAGCCAGAGATTTAGGACTTGCCCCACAAGACTATCAATGCCTCACCACCCTATTGACCCTTCTAGACGAAAGTGACTCAAATACCATCTCGAACCGTACTGGCCTAAAACCAAAGAGCCGCTATACTCCTAATTTTGCGAGCTTTAGACATATTGAGCTCTTCTTAGAGGCAGCTAAAATAGAGATTGAAAAAATCAGCTTGAAATCTCTCCGCATCCATTCTAGGGAGAACCTCCTTAGACGGGAACAACGAGCTTTGAAAACCTTACAAGACGATGCTGACATCATCATCAAACCCGCCGACAAGGGGGGGAATATTGTAGTGATGGATGTGGACCAATATCTAGATATGGCCAAACGGGTCCTGAAGGACACTGAGACATATACAATCCTTAAACATGATCCTACGGATGATTTTCTGTCCAAATACAAGGAGATATTGGAGGATGGTCGCAGTGGAGGGTTGCTATCCGGTGACGAGTTTGAATTTATCCTCACTCGTCACCCTAAGGTAGCAACCTTCTACTGCCTACCTAAAGTTCATAAGAACAAGGAGACACCCCCAGGACGTCCGATTGTCTCTGGGGTTGATAACCTTACACAAAACGGCAGCCTGTATATAGACAGAGTTTTAAGACCTTTTGTGGAACTATTACCCTCCTATATTAGAGATACCAAACAAGCACTGAATAAACTTTCGAGTCTAAAATTCTCCTCCACCGTCCAACTATGCAGTTTGGACGTTGAATCACTTTATTCCTCTATACCTCACGATAGAGGAATTGAACATGTGGGATTTTTTCTAGACCAGAGAACCCCCAAAGATGATCTACATACGGCTTTCCTTCTACGCCTTCTTAGGTTTATTTTGTCACATAATTACTTTCTGTTCAACAATTGTATATACCACCAGATTAGGGGAACCGCTATGGGGACGGCTTGTGCCCCCTCATATGCGAATCTCCATCTTGGTTGGTGGGAACATCAGATCCGTAATTCAGATATGCTAAGAGAATACCTACCCAAAATCCTATGGTGGGGTCGCTATATCGACGACATTTTGATTGTCTGGCAGGGTACCCCTCAGGAGTTTTTGGCTATGGTAGGATTACTTAACTGTAACGACGAAAATCTTCGTTTTACATCTGAATTCGGAGGACGTTCCATCAATTTTTTGGATGTGACCATTAGTATTACTGAAGATGGTACTTTCCATTCTACATTATACAGAAAATCTACGGCAACTAACTCTCTACTACACTGGACTAGTCACCATCCCCGATCCCTCAAGGAGGGTATACCGGTGGGTCAATATCTCCGACTTCGGAGGAACTGTAGTGACATCCAGGACTTTACTCTAAAAGTGAAACAACTTCGACAACACTTTAAGGAGAAGGGTTATCCGAATCGCTGTCTGAAAAAAGCCTATAAGAGGGCACTACAGACTGAGAGGAGTGATCTACTATGTGACTTTTCAAAAAAGATCACCAATAAGGACGCAGGAAATATCCGTATGATTGCAACATTCGACATGGGGTGGCCAGAAGTACGAAAGTCACTGGAGAGATTCTGGCCTATCCTACTGAATGACATACATCTTAAGGGGGCTCTTAGCCCACATGTGGACATTACAGCTAGAAGGGGACGTAATATTCGTGATCTGCTGGTACCTAGTCACTTTTCTACTAAACCACAACTGCGTGCCACTTGGTTGGGCACTCCCCCGATGGGCACATATAGCTGTGGCAAATGTGTAGCCTGTAAGTTTATCCTCAAAAATTCTAAGACCGTTAGCGATAGTCAAGGACTAGGTTCCTTTAAAGTAAAAAGTTTTTTCAACTGTAATACAAAGGGCCTTGTATACCTACTTTCGTGTACATGTGGACAGAAATATGTGGGGAAAACTTTTAGGGCTTTCAAGGATAGGATCATGGAACATGTGAGATCCCCTAGGAATCGTCTTGAGACACCTATCTCGAGACACCTTAAAGAATCTCACCATGGGAATTCTAATAACCTCAGATTTTGTGGATTGGAATTAGTAAAAAGGACCCCAAGACGGGGAGATTTTGATAAAATACTCAGACAGAGGGAGTCGAGATGGATATACGAACTCAAAACACTTCAACCTCTAGGTTTAAATGAGGGTTTCTCTTTTGCTCCCTTCATATAACCGACAGAGTTGTCTTTTACATGACACTGAGCAACACATATATATATTTATATATATATATACATATGCATATATTCTTATATGTATACATCTCTGACTTTCCTCCTTTTTTCCTTTCTTGTCTTTTTACACTTTCTTCTTATAATATATATTTTAATTTTATTTATACCTGCTATTACCAGCTTTATTGAAAATGTTCACCATTCACCACTCTTCTCTTTGTCTCTAATCAATTTATATAATGTATTTTATGTCATCTATACGGTTTTCTGACTATCTTTTTGTTTTATCTCTGCTTTACTCCGTTTCCCCTCTTTTCTTCTCCCTATTTGTCCCTTCACCCATGTCCGGATTTTGTACTATCTTTTTAAATATGCCATGATTAGAATCCCATACGTCATGGGATTCTATTTAATGATTCTTTATGATGTGGTAGCCTATGCTATATACATACATAAAAATAGTGTGGCATAATTAACATCCAAATTAGATTTTCGGGTGAATCCATCTCTGTATATGTGCTGCCCTTTCTGCCCTGACATGCACACAAATGTCTTGGAGTGCTCTTCTTCTCTAAGTCCATGCGCATGCACGGACATCATGACAAGCGCTATATCAGATTGTAATTTGCGTAGATGTGTTAGAGTGTATCCATCTAAGTTCGTGCGCATGCGCGGATGCCGCAGGGGAGCATGCGCAGTACTACACTTTGGTCCTTGCGGACGTCGGTACGGGACATGTGCAATGAGAGGATGCTCAGGTGATTAGACGATGCCGGCTTGTGGCGATTACCAACACCTGATGGGAGACTCATGGGAGGTATTTAAACGAAGGAGGGGCGAGATTCAAATTGATGCATTTTATTTTGGCCCTTGAGAAAGGCGGTTAGTCCGCCGAAACGCGCGTCGGGCTTCTCTTTGTTTTGATGTAACCGTTGATTTTGATTTTACTTTACCAATATCCGACTCTCTAGTGTGTTACAGCAATTTTTCTTTTTTTTTTTGTTTTTGGGGGGGGACCAGACCTGGTTACTACGCTGGGGCATCTAAGTCTGTAGTATGGAGTAATTAGTGGGTTGATTTTTCCATTTTTCCTTGCATCCGGATTGAATACTCATTCCTACTTTATATTTTCTCCTTTTACTACATGATCTTCTCTGTCCTTTCGATTTCCACTATGTGCCAATAACTGTGCACTCTCTGGTCCTTTCTTTATTAGAAACATTACTTTTTTAGCACTTACTCTATAGTAAGATTTTGCATAAGTTCTACTCGCTACCTTTTGAAAGCGATTGATACAATATACCCCTCCATTTTTTCATATGCTGGTAACTTTGTGCTTTCTAATGTCTGGAAAGGTTTAGTCCATATCACTACTATCACTTCTAGTATTTAATTAGGTTTACTTAGATGATCACACTCAATAGTGGTTCACACTGTCAGTATTATCTTTGGTAACAACTCTGTCTAAGTTTACAATTGTTACATCTTCTAGTGACTGACATACCTTGCAGCTAATAGATCAGACTTTTCCGGGAGTCCTCAGGATATTTGGCTTTTTATACTATTTTTTCAATAAAATTTATTTATTTTCTATAGACATATGTTTTTTGGGGTGGTTTGAAGGAGAGGGGCACGTCCTGTTACGAGGTGGTCTCTCCTTCATTTTTCATTTTTTGTATATATTTTTGCGTTCCACGCAGGGTTATGCCCTTGTTGCCACCCCTATAACCCATTTCTTATGGTACTCCCTATTAGGTTTCCTATTTAGGAAGTACCGCTATCTATTTAGAAAATTGGGCAGACTAGATGGGCCGAATAGTTATTATCTGCTGTCACATTCTATGTTTCTATGTTTCAGTGACTGGCTTTTGGAATCCTCTACGTATCTTATTAGAATACTTTCTAAAGTTATGGCACATTACATTACCACCAGAAGGGCACTTTGGTTAAGGTCCTGGGGAGCAGACCTTTCTTCTAAGAATAATCTATGTACCCTTCCTTTTCTGGGAGAGGTGCTTTTTGGAAAACCATTGGATGAGGCATTTAAGAA